CTCTCTCTCTCGTCTCTCTCTCTCTCTCTCTTCTCTCTCTCTCTCTCTCTCCTCTCTCTCTCTCTCTCTCTCTCTCTCTCTCTCTCTCTCTCTCTCTCCCTCCTCTCCCTCCCTCCCTCCCTCCCTCCCTCCCTCCCTCCCTTCTCTCTATTCCTCTTCTTCTCCCTCCTCCTCTTCTTCTCCCTTCGTCTTTCTTCTCCCTCCTCCTTCCCCTCTCCCTCCTCCTCTCCCCCTCCTTCCTCCTTCTCCCTCTCCCTCCTCCTCCCTCTACATTTCCTTCACTCTCTCCTCTGCTTCTCCCTATTCCTTTCCTTCTCCCTATCCCTCTCCCTTTTCCTCTCATTCTCCCTCTCCCTCTCCCTCTCCATACTTCCCCCATGCGGTGAAAAATGGTGAACGATATTGAAAGGCGAAAAGATTACAGGAAATATACGAAGTAAAGAAGAAGAAGAAGAAGAAGAAGAGGACCGAGAATATTGGCGGGAAATAAAATTGTCTCGCTTTTCAGTTTCCATTTTCTAGTTATTGATTTCCAGTTGCGGTGATTTTTTTGAGGGGGGGGGGGGAGGGGTATTATTTGGAGGGGAAAGGGATTACTTGGAGAATAAGGCTTTTTTTTTTTTTTTTTTTTTGTAACAAAGGGTATCGAAAGGACGGTGTATATTACTTTTTTGCATTTGCTTTTATTCGTAGGAGCTGTCCTTCGATTTATGTTGCAGTTCCCATTTATGTTTATGATCTCTTTGTTTTTGTGATCTTCATCCTTTTTTTTTCTTTTTTTATCCTGTGTCTCCCTCTTCCGGGGTCTCTTTTCTCCTTGAAATTCCTGTTCGTATAGTCCGTCTCATCCTCCTCTTCCTCTTTCTTTTATTCCCCCTTTCCTTCTCCGCCTTATACACTTTTCCTCCTCTTCTTCCACTTCTAATTGCGTTTCTTCTCGTTTGCGCTGCATTCTGAGGTTTATCTCTCTCCTTTTCTATCCCTTTTCTCCCTTCTTCTCAGCTTCCCTCCGCCTTCCCCTTCTTTCATAGCTCTTCTATTTCTCATTTTCTTGTACTTTGTTTTTCTTCACTTCTCTCGTATCTTTCCCCTTTCTTTTTCCTTTGTTCTCCTTTCCTTTTTATTCATTTTCCTCGCCTACTTGATTATCCTTCCTCTTCGCCATTCCTCCCGCTCCTTTATTATCCTCCTCTTCTTGATTCTCCTCCAATCCCTCTTCCCAATTCTCCTCCTCTTCCTCCCCCTCTCTTATCTGTCTGCAACGAGCACTCCCAGCCTGTCTGCAGGACCGCAAGCATCCCGGTTTTGCAGCGTCCGAGCACCTTTCTGGAGCCTGGGTCTTCCTAATGTCTTAATCCCTTTTAAAGGTTGCAAGTCGCTCTGCAAAGGTGCTCGAGCTTTTTGCCTCTGTGGTTGGCCCACATATACTATATATTATATATATATTATATAATAATATATAATATATATATAAATAATAATATCTGTTGTGTGTGTGGGTGATGTGTGTGTGTGTGTGTGTGTGTGTGTGTGTGTGATACCTGTGTGTGTGTGTGTTCGCTTGCGTGTGCGTGTGTGTGTATTGTGTGTGTGCATGTGCGTCAGTGAATCTGTTGTGTACATATGGTAGTTGTGTGTATATTTGTATAGATATATATATTCTATATACTACTATAATAATTAATATAGATATACTATATATATAATATTATATCGTATGTATTTGAATTCGTGTGCATTATACTATATTATGATATTATATAGATAATAACATATATAAATATGAACAAAAATATCCACATATTAAATATATATATATGTAATATTTTTACTAGAATATAAAATTATGTGGTTATAGTGTATAAAGTATAGTATTTACAGTGAAAAGTCTCGGTTGTTGTTTGTGTGTATATATGTGCAACGCACGCACCACACCGCACAGAGAGAGATAGAGACCTCGAGCAGATATGAGAGAGAGAGAGAGAGAGAGAGAGAGAGAGAGACGAGAGACGAGAGAGATAGAGAGAGAGAGAAGATGAGAGAATAATAGAGAGAGAGAGAGAGAGAGAGACATGTAAACCTACATATTTCCTTAACATTACCACACAAAACGCATCATTCATATCCAAATATATGCAGACAATCTCTACGATCACAGACGTCTGCTATACATAATGAATACAACATATAATAACCAACATAGCATGATACAATAACATATGTCTTGTGCGAATGAGCAAAGAAGACTGTGTGTGTGCGGAGAACTTTCTCATAATTAGGGTGTTAATTCCCCTGCAACATCTCGCGTAGTTGTGGGAAGGACAGGTATTTTATCCGCAAATTACGTAGCTATTTTTTTATTTTCTCTCTGAGAGTAATATTAAGCTGCGATATACGGTCATTATCTTCTTGAGCTATTATTACATTAATTTTATTCTTGATAAATATACTGTCTCCGAAAGCAATTTACTGCCACAAAAACACCGTAATAACGCCATTTACTATAAGCTCATACAAATAACAAAATACCGAGTCCGACTCTCTTCTGTGGCAGGGATTTCACCCTTATCTCGGTTGCGCGAGCACTGCCACCCCCCCCTCTCTCTCTCTNCCCGTCTGCCCTGCATTTCCCCCACCCAATCCCCACCCACGCCCTTCGAACAGATAGAACGTGGTCGACTTGAACTCGAAGCTCGCGCCCGCGAAGAGCAGCGTCAGTCATCAAGCCCGGGACAAGATGCACCTCCTCGTCACTATGGCCAACCTCAGTAATGTTTCCCATTGACCTTAAACGACAATTTGTTCTTGTAACCCTGTTATCCTACTACAATCCATATATATATATATTATATATATATATATATATATATATATATATAATATATATATATATATTATATTATCATTATTATTAATTCCACTATGTGAACGCTATGTAACGTTTTGCTATGCATTGAGTGTTAAATGTTATAAATAAACATGCCAAACTTTTATCGGTATTTCTAAACAATCAGGTATTCTAATACACAAACCTTTAAAAACGTTGAAAAATGAATCGGAAAACTGATAAGCCAAATCTAACTACGTTTAAATTTAATCTTTATCAAGTATCTTAGAAACAAGCATTATATCAAAACCATCAAATTGTTTTATATATAAGATAATAAATAAAGAACATCTCTCATTTGCTTATTATGAAAACAGAACAAGAAACAAATGAGGTACCTGAAGCTATTTTTTTTCCTTGGTACAATCCACCTGTTCATTAGATAATTAGTTGCCTTAATCTGAATCAAATTAGGGTCCTCTGCTAGACACTTCAAAATATAAAATCTTCGTTAACTGATTATTTTCGTCCGAGTTAAATCGATTTGTGAGAGTAATAACGTTACTTCGTTATGTGATCTGATAACAGCGGTAAGAGTAAGAGATGAAAGATACGACCTGAGCTCCTCTTCTTCTATGAACTTTCCAGAGCATTACCATAGCCACTTTGAGATACAATAAAAAAAAAAATAATAATAATAATAGTAAAGTTTATTTTCACGAGCATTTCAATATAGAGATATAGGATGTGGGAATAAAAACAAATTTATGGCGCCATCTGCAAGACAAATGTTTATTGGAAACGCTTATACTAGTCTCAGCTTCAACAGAAAGTGTCACTGTATGCAGTACGAGAAATACATGAGTTGAACTCTACGGAGAATATTGAGTTTGTCGTCCTAGTAGTAAAACATCTCCCGGCGGGAATCGAACCCCGGTCTCCCGCGTGACAGGCGGGGATACTAACACATATACTACCGAGGAATATGTATGTGCCGGAGAAACTTTATTTAAATCAGGATAGATTTAATTAATATCTAGAAGTCTTTTTCACAAATATATTGATCAAAAACATTTTGTCAATCCCTCTGTTTACTTTTTTCTCTATTCTTATGCTAAAATTAGCAAATATAACTTTTATGTGTAATGAAACTCTAAGGAAATGGGTTCATCGTGTTTTTGTTCAACGAAAGATGAAACAAATCAAATGATAAATTAAATTAAAAAACGACTCAAATATTCTTTAATATCTAATTTATATTCGTTGCAATCTTTGGACATTCCGGATATACCAGAGACTTTAAATTCAAAAAGACTGAATGAGATAGAATTGTAATGATCACTAAATGAATGAATAGTTTACATTCGGATATCCCTGTACCTTCTTTGGTATCAACTCCTCTAGACTCATAAATCACATGGTGGACTAATTTACATTTCACAATCTGTGTAACACACAAATACAGACCACATAAATACACACACACACACACACACACACACACACACATATATATATATATGTGTGTGTGTGTGTGTGTGTGTGTGTGTGTGTGTGTGTCTTTATATATATTATATTGAAATAATACATGCATGTCTTACCTGGCAAGCATTGGAAATATTCCTAAGTGGGCAATCCAAAGATTGGATTCAAGCAAAACAAATATAAAATAATAATAATAATTATTATATTATTATTATTATTATTATTATTATTATTATTAAAGATTCAAAATAGTAAATAAATCTGTACACACATACGCACGCAAACGTGCACACAAAATATATATATATATATATATATATATATATATATATATATATATATATATATATATGAGTGTGTGTCTGTTAATATGTATTGATAGATTATTAAAAACAGGCTTGTATCAAGTGCTATGTACACATAAGTACATATATGTGTGTTTTGGTGTGTAAGCTTATGCATAGATGTGTGTATATTTTAAACACACACATTTATACATATGTAATATCTACATTTATGCGTATATATATATATATATATATATATATATATATATATATATATATATATATATATATAAACTCACTGTTTCCACATAATGGTTAGGAGGAAAATGGTCTTCTCGCGACCTACATTTCCTCTCTCACGGGTATATAAAGGCGCCTGGCCTGCGAACCAGCATCACTTCTTGCAGTCTCCACTAGAAGTATATCAATCCTATCAACATGAAGGCAGTAAGTCTGTGTATTCTAAGCATTTTGTTTCCATGTCAAACGTCATGAAGTATTAGTAAGTAGTACTAGAATAGTAGGAAGGTCAGTAATACATGTATGAACATTCCAGCTGATTCTATCCTTGATGGTGGTTGTGGTTGCGGCTGAGAGACCGTCCCTCTCTTACGACGCCCCTGCACCACACACATCCTCGCCCGTCCAGCAGATCCCCATCATTCGCGACGAGCGAGTCCATCCTGCCGCTGACGGCACCTACAGCTTTGACGTGGAGACTGGGGATGGCATCGTCAGGCACGAGTCGGGCGGTCCAGGTGGCGCTCAGCAGGGAACTGTGAGGTTAGTTCATTCACTTCTCAAAATATTACACTGAAACATAAATGTGTGTAAACCTGTATATACATGGCCTTTAAAAGACAATGAATGTAAGAGTCGTCTCTATGTGGGTGTAAATATGAAACTATATCAAACTATGGTTTCCTTTCAGCTTCACCTTCCCAGATGGCCAAGTCTTCGATCTCCAGTTCGTCGCTGATCTTAACGGTTACCAACCTCAGTCGTCCTTCCTGCCCGTCGCCCCTGTATTCCCCCACCCAATTCCCGCCCACGCCCTCGAGCAGATCGAGCGTGGACGACTTGAACTCGAAGCTCGCGCCCGCGAAGAGCAGCGTCAGTCATTAAGCCAAGGACAAGCTGCACCTGCTCGCCACTACGGCCAACCTCAGTAATGTTTTCTACCTGAACTTCAACATGTTCTTGTTACCTGTTATCCTACTCCATTTTTTCTGCCCCATTATATAACGCTATGTAACGTTATATGTTATAAATAAATCTAAATCAAACTTCTGTTGGTATTTCTAAACAATATGGTATCCTGATAAACCTATATAAACAAAAACAAAAAATAAAACTTTCCTTTTCACATTTGGTTTTGCGTGCCAACGTATAAAGTATATATGATATTCAGATTTCGATATTTCAGACCACAAGACATTACCAGCTGCTAATGAGCCAAATTTACCAAGCCTAAAACCAATTTTTATTACGAATATTAATAAGCCATCAAATCGGTGAATATATGAAATAATGAATAAAAAGCAATTTTCATATAAGGAAAAGAAAAATAAACAAGGGAGTTACTTGAAGCTATTAACTTTTTCCCTTCTATGATCCACCTGTTCTCAAGATTAACAATAATTAGATCACTTAATATGAAGCAAAACAGTGTCTTTTTCTGCAGTCTCAAAAGTTTTACAGGGATATCAGATCTTCGCTAACAAATTATTTTCCCAGTGTTAGTTTAGTCTGTGAAATAATGTATGTTATGACATGCGATTTAATGGCAATGGTAAAAATAAATGATAAAAAGATACAAACTTCTTTAAGCTATTAGGTTTCCTTAACATTACACTATTCAATGCTGATCGAACTATCAGAAGTTTTAGATAAGAAAAGGTTTAAAACGGATTTTAATAAGCATCTGGTAACAAAGATTTATTTATGGTATCGCGTGTAAAGGAAATATTTACTTCGTCTCAATCATAACTGTCCCCTTATGCTTTACTAGAAACGAAGTAAACTGTACGGTGAGCTATGTTAAGGTTGTCGTCCAGATGGTAAAACGTCCTCCCGGCGGGGAATCGAACCCCGGTCTCCCGCGTGACAGGCGGGATACTAACCACTATACTACCGAGAAATACATTTTTTTTATTTGAAAGTAAACCTAAATTATTATATATTTAATTATATCTAAATGTCTTTTCACAATTCTTTTGTTCAGAGTCCTCACTAATTCTGTCATTTCTACCGGTGGTCGTGCCGCGCACCTTTCCTCTGTTTCTATTTTAAAATAAGGAAACATAATTCGTTTATCTCTTAGATTGGTAAATTGTTTTTCGTTTTGTTTTTTCATCGAAAAATTTAAAAATCATGTTATGACTGATTTCTTTCACTAAATCAATCTACGACTTCAATATTCATTTGTATATTTAGTTAATATTGGTCACGATCCCTGAAAATTCTATACTTTTAGTTTAGAAGGACTGATTGAAGTGAAATCGTCATAAACACTAAATCAATAAAAAAAGCTAACATTTTGCCTACTCTAAAATCTCATCTCTAGACTCAGATTAGAGGACGGACTCATTTACAGTTTTTTTAATACAAGTAGATATGTAGAAAATATTTATATTTACATATATCTATACATTTTTTTCTGGGAGGTAATCAAATTAGATTGATTTTTTTTTCAAATGCAATTATTTTGAAGTTGATATGATCAATCTATTTTAGTATAATCCCTAGGTACTGGAGAGCAGTAACTTTAAACCAGAAAAGGCAGAATGAATGTATAATTATGTTGTATGTGTGTGTGTAGTTGTATATGGATGTGTATGTGTACGTGCGTGTGTGTGTGTGTTGTGTGGTTCTGTACATATATACACACTGAAAAAATGTATTTATACTGGAAAAATTCCTCGATTGGCTATCGAATCCCAGTCTCCCACTTATTTATCTTCTTTATTTTATATAAATATAAACTGAGATATAGATTCAAATGCGTGTGTACGTGAACATGTGTGCAATACTTTATATCGATTGCTATATACAACAGGTGCTTAAAAAGCGGAATGTAAATGTTACTTCTTATCGCGACCTACATTTCCTCTAGGAGAGGTATATAAAGGCGCCAGGCCTGCGAACCAGCATCACTTCTTGCAATATCCACTAGAAGTACATCAATATTATCAACATGAAGACAGTAAGTTTGTTTCTTAGCATTCTGGTTCCATGTCAAGCGTCATTTTAAAGTAGTAGTATTATGAAATTTGGTAAAAACCAACAATATTTACTAACATATATGAACATTCTAGCTGTTTCTGTCCTTGCTGGTGGCTGTGGCTGCGGCTGAGAGACCGTCCCTCTCCTACGACGCCCCTGCACCACACACATCCTCGCCCGTCCAGCAGATCCCCATCATCCGCGACGAGCGAGTCCATCCTGCCGCTGACGGCACCTACAGCTTTGACGTGGAGACTGGGGATGGCATCGTCAGGCACGAGTGGTGGTCCAGGTGGCGCCCAGCAGGGAACCGTAAGGTTAGTTCATTCACTCCAAAATTTTACACAGAAACAGAAACGTGTGTAAACCTGCTTCGTTTACACAAGGCCTTTAAACGACAGTGAATGTAAAAATCGTCTATGTATATATGTAAATATGAATCTATATATATAAACTATGGTTTCCTTTCAGCTTCACCTTCCCAGATGGCCAAGTCTTCGACCTTCAGTTCGTGGCCGATCTTAACGGTTACCAACCTCAGTCGTCCTTCCTGCCCGTCGCCCCTGCATTCCCCCACCCAATCCCCGCCCACGCCCTCGAGCAGATCGAACGTGGTCGACTTGAACTCGAAGCTCGCGCCCGCGAAGAGCAGCGTCAGTCATCAAGCCAAGGACAAGCTGCACCTGCTCGCCACTATGGCCAACCTCAGTAATGTTTTCACACTGAACTTGAAATGTTCTAGTTTGTTATCCTACCCCAATTTTTTTTTTTTTTTTTTTTTTGACCCACTATATGAACGCTATGTAACGTTTTGCTATGCACTGAGTGTTTATATTTATAAATAAATGTAAATCAAACTTCTGTTGGTATTTCTAAACAATATGGTATCCTGATACATAAACCTATATAAAGAAAAACAAGAAAATAAAACTTTCCTTTTCACAATAGGTTTTGTGTATCAACGTATAAAGTATATGTAACATTCAAATTTTGATATTTCAGACCATAAGACATTACCAGCTGCTATCACCGAAACAACCTAATGAGCGAAATTTAACCACGTCTAAAACTAATTTTTATTACAAATATTAATAAGCCATCAAATCGGTGAATATACAAAATAATGAATAAAGAACAATTTTCTTATACTCATAAAAAGAAATATGAACTAGGGAGTTAATTTAAGCTATAACATTTTTCCCTTCATGTGATCCATCTGTTCATTAGATTAACAATAATCAGATTACTTAATCTCAGGCAAAACAGTGTCTTTTTCTGCAGTCACAAAAGTTTTACAAGGATATCAGATCGTCGCTAACAAATTATTTTCTGTGTTAGTTTAGTCTGAAATAATGCGATTTAATAACAATTGTAAAATAGATTATAAAAGATACTTATATCTTTAAGCTATTAGATTTCCTTAACATTACACTATTCAATGCAGATCGAACTATCAGAAGTTTTAGGTAGGACAAAGGTTTAAAACGGATTTTTTAAGCATCTGGTAAAAGAAATATTTACTTGGAAACGAACTCACCAGTCTCGTGTCAATCACAACTGTCCCGTTTTGCTTTACTAGAAATGAAGTAAACTCTACGGTGAATTATGTCAAAGTTTGTCGTTCTGATAGTAAAAGGTCTCCCCGGCGGGGAATCGAACCCTGGTCTCCCGCGTGACAGGCGGGGATACTAACCACTATACTACCGAGGAATACGTTTTCAATGTTGGCAGAACTACAATAGGATATAACTAATTCATATCTAAATGTCCTCACGAATCCTAATTAACTATGTCATTTTTAACGGTGGCCGTGCCGTAAATCTGGTTACTTCTTTCCTCTGTTTTTTTTTTTTTTTTTTTTTTTTTTTAATATGGAAACAGTTCGTTTATCTCTTAGATTAGTAAATTTTGTTTTTCCTTTTTCATCGAAAAAAACTAACAAATCATGTTAAGATCGATTTCTCTTACTAAAATAATCTACGACTTCAATATTCATTTATATATTCTGTTAATATTGGTTACGATCCCTGGCCATTGGAAACTTTCAATTTAGAAGGACTGATTGAAGTGAAATCGTTATAAACACTAAAAAAAAATAAAATAAAATAAAAAAATAAAAACAGCTGACATTCTGCCCAGATTAGATGATGGACTTCTCTATATTTTCAAAAGTTTTCTAATACATGTAAATATGTAGGTATACATGTATATGTACGTATATTTATCCATGTCTTTTTTCTGGGAGGTAATTAGATTAAATTGTTTTCTTTTTCAACGAATAAGAATAAAGATAAACATTTTTTCTTTCACTACTATGATCTTTAAGTTGATACTTAGATATTCAATATATTTTAGTATAATCCCTAGGTACTGGAGACCTTCGATATAAATTAGGAACTTCTGAATGAGGTGAACTTATTTTCAATATAACCTGTATGATTTATATATGTGTATGTGTGTGCGTGTGTGTGTGTGCGTGTGTGTGTATGTGTGTGCGTGTATGTGTGTGTGTGTGTGGTTCTGTATATATACATACTGAAAAAATACATATCTATACTGGAAAAATTCCCCGATTGGGTATCGAATCCCAGTCTCCCGCTTATTTATCTTTTTTAATAAATATATACAAAGATATAGATGCACATGCGTACGTACGTGAACATACATGCAATGCTATATATCGATTGCTATATACAACAGGTATATAGGGAATGTAAATGTTACTTCTTATCGCGACCTACTTTTCCTCTCTGAGGGGTATATAAAGGCGCCAGGCCTGCGAACCAGCATCACTTCTTGCAATATCCACTAGAAGTACATCAATATCAACATGAAGACAGTAAGTCTGTTCTTTAGCATTATGGCTCCATGCCAAGCGCCATAAAGTGTTTGAAAGTAGTAGTAATGAATTTAGTAAAATCAACAATATTTACTAAAAAATATAACGTTCCAGCTGATTCTGTCCTTGCTGGTGGTTGTGGCTGTGGCTGAGAGGCCGTCCCTCTCCTACGACGCCCATGCACCACACACATCCTCGCCCGTCCAGCAGATCCCCATCATCCGCGACGAGCGAGTCCATCCTGCCGCTGACGGCACCTACAGCTTTGACGTGGAGACTGGGGATGGCATCGTCAGGCACGAGTCTGGCGGTCCAGGTGGGCCCAGCAGGGAACCGTGAGGTTAGCTCGTTCTC